CATGGGCGAAACAGTATACTCTGTTATGTCCATGGTACTGCTCATGTCTATAGGCGAAAGTTACCGCTTTCCATCAGGTGGGCCGTCAGCTTGTTTGCCATTCTAAGTTGTATAAAAAAAATATAGATGGGAGTAGGTATTGTTCTAGTGTAACCAAATATTTTCACCGAAGAGACGAGCGTCGAAAAACGACAAAAAATTTTGAGACTTCTGTACTAACAAGGCGCGTCCAACTGTTAAATTGGTTGGTCATTACACGAAATTAGATAAGAAAAACTAGATGGCGCTGAACTGAGACTTATGATTTATATTTATTTATTTATTTATTCTTTAATGCACAATAAAATTTTGTACAAATGGCGAGTTTAATGCCATATGGCATTCTCTACCAGCTAACCATTGGATAAAAAGAAATTTTTGTTTACTATTTTGTAATTGAAGATAATTCGAAGGCGAAATTTCTAAATACGCGAGTTGTTTATAATTTTTATTTATGAATGTGAAGTGGCAGATAAAAGGAGATATTTTTCTGAATGAATTATAATCCACACAATTGCTCTTGCATTTTCTTACATGTACTTGATTTTTTTTTTACAAAGTTGCACAATACAAGTGAATAGTTGCAAAAATAATGATTATATATTACTATATCGATAAAAAATGAACAAAGTCACCCGCCAATTTAGAAATCTAGCCTCAAATTATCTTTAATTACAAAATAATCAACAAAAATCACAACTATCGATTCTAGCGTTAATCAGTCTGTTTGAATAAAAAAATACTTCTATCCTTTTCTATTAATTAGTAATAAGCGACCGATTATGATATTTTTGATATTTATATTTACGTAGTTCATCGGATGGCCACTGTCACGTGTTCATTTATCATCTTGGCTCCTTAACACTGGCTGAAAAACGAAGATATGGACAGCAATAAATTATATGTTTCATCAATAATGTCCGCTGAGCCGCACCGCTATATATCAGCAGCGATACCGTATCGGCGTGACAGAGGTGGCGTGTTCAGTCCTCGCCTTTTTATCACAGTATCGCTCTGTTAATAGTACAATATATATTTATATATATTAGGTATTCATTGTTAAATTTTAATCAATTGAAAATTATTGTAGTCAATCCTAAAGAATTCTTCACGAAGGGTTAAATGTTACCCAGCCAGAGTATACCAAAAGCGCAGGTGCTGTTACCATTTAGGTTTATTTCATAAAAAGAGTATCACTATGCGTGAGAGAGTGCTGCTAGCCTAGACACGGCAGAGGCATTCGATCTGGTTTTGCACAAAGATCTTCTACCGAAATTGTCTTCATACGGGCTTCCGAGGGATTGTGCAGCTTTCTGTCCGACAAATGCATCAAAACCGTATTTGAAATTTATACTTTTTTCAGTGTTTACAGTACAAGCATGTTGTTACGTCATTCATGCGGTCATTTCATTTTGGACGTGCTTCGATTGAAGCAAATTGTCAGCGATATAGATGTTAAGATTTTTTTTATTATTATTTCACTTTATATATTATATAAACGTCATATAATATAAACGTCATATAATATAAACGTCATATAAACAGTTATCGTTAAAAAGGAATATAAGTTTTTAAAAATAAAAAAGTAGAATCGAGAATTTGCATCTTTTAATCGTTCAAAACCTTTTCAAATAATACGAGCATAAAGCTTTCAAAGATACTTGCACGTCAGCAACAATGGGAGCGATGGAAGAGGTGTAAGTTAACGATCCAAAATCGAAGGAAGTAATCATGAAACAGAACTTTACCCCAAGGATGGTTGATCGGAATACAGATCAAAATTTATCTTCCATGCAACGTCTGCGGTCACGTCGCCACTAACAATTTGGTAGGAAATAAGAAAAAAATCTCTCTCCTGTTTGATGACCTGTGATAGGCACAAATATATAAATTTGTTTGGAAACTTCGAAATTGTTTTTTATTTTCTGTTTATCTGCTACGATGTGTAAATTAATTTATTTAATTATTCTTTATTGCACAATAAAATTTTATACAAGTGGCCAGCTTAATGCCACCTAACCATTAGGCAAAGGGGGGAAAGGGATTGTTAGTAATGGGGTCTAATTGACCCATTGCTAGCAATACACCCTATTAGATCGACCTCCACGCGGTTCCCCTGGAAACAGTCATGGTTATTTCTAATGGAATTCGTCACGATATAGGCTAACTGATCTGCTTTCATTCTCACCTATCATCCCTCACTGGTACCCCTCCAGCGTATCCCGATAACGCAAGTGGGGTAACCATTTCATTATTACTTATTAAAAAAAACCATTGGGCAAAAATAGAAAGCGTATGAAAGGCAGATGTGGTGAAAAATATGCCACATAATTATAATAACATTAGATTATGTTCCACTAAGAAAAACCGAGTTTAATTGTGGTAAAAATCAGCTATTTATTTATTTATACATTATTACACACTAATTTATTTTAAATGAAGATGTACAACAGGCGAGCTTTACTATTTAAAAGTTCTCTTCCTGCAAACCCTGAGTGTAAAGGAGCATTAATTACCAGCGGGCAGTGTACGTACAATAAGAAGTGGAAACAGTACCTATAGCTATTTCTATTAAGAAACAATAAATACATTTACTTGAATACACATACATTTTGATTTAAAACAAAATTTTTTAACCGACTTTGATAACATTTCTATGAGACCAATCGGTAAGTAAATTTTTAAATAAATACATATAATGTTAACAGAGACTTAAAAGAGTAACTGTTGAGTTTCTTGCGGGCTCTTCTCAACAGATAACGATTTTCCGAACGCTGCAGTAGATTTAAAAAAAATACGATTTATAAGTGTTTGTAAACAAGTCTGTTTGAATAAAAATGGTCTAATCTATCAGAGTACAAAAATCGATTGCTTGGGTACCTCTGTCCCATTCGTGTTTCTACCGTGAAGCAGTTGTGTTTGCATGGCTGTGTTTCGGTTTGAAGGGTGGGATATGGCGTGAATTTACTGGGTACAGAGGAATAACACCTGAGTGCTCAGGAATGGCAACGCATGGGGGGTATCATGGGCGAAACAGTATACTCTGTTATGTCCATGGTACTGCTCATGTCTATAGGCGACGATTACCACTTTACATCAGGTACCCACCTGACGTAAAGTGGTAGCTTGTTTGTCATTCTAAGTTGTATATAAAAAAAAAAGCTTCCAATAAAACAGGCTACAACTACATAATTGTTAATAATACGTAGCGTTCGTCGGTTGCATGCTGTTGTACGAAGATTGATTGCCTTTTGTACAGCTCATAAAACATTGCGCCGTGCTGTTGAAAGGTCGGCGTTTAATATACGTCCCAATAGTACATTTTCAATGGATGTAAATAACCTATTTTCATGGTAAATACGTTAAATACGAAAGTGAAATTCTATCAGGGATCAAGTGTAAGAAAGAAAGCAAGAAGGAAGGAAAGAAAGAAACTTTATTTTACAGAAATATGCGACTACACCCACGCAAGGGTTAAAATTTTTTTATTAAGAGTTATAATAATGAAACTACACACAATATTTATATATAAATAAATAATATAAAATTAAAAAAGAAAAATAAAAAAAAATCGTATTATAACAGTTTCATCCAAAATGAGTGTGTGTGTGCGTGCGATGTTACACTTGCAAAATGAAGTGCGTGCTCAGCATTTTGCTGTAGTGTCAGGGATACTACAGCGCTGATTTTCAGCACGAGCCTCGCCAACCCGCGGGGTCCTAATAATAACAATATATTTTTATAAGTTTGACTTACACAGTCTACGACGGAAATATTTTTTTTTTGCACAACTTAGAATGGCAAACAAGCTGACGGCCCACCTGATGGAAAGTGGTAACCGTCGGGCTATAGACATGAGCAGTACCATGGACATAACAGAGTATACTGTTTCGCCCATGATACCCCCCATGCGTTGCCATTCCTGAGGACTCAGGTGTTATTCCTCCGTACCCTGTAAATTCACGCCATATCCTATCCTTCAAACCGAAACACAGCCATGCAAACACAACTGCTTCATGGTAGAAACACGAATGGGACAGAGGTACCCAAGCAATCGACTTTTGTTGTTAGCTTGTTTGCCATTCTAAGTTGTACAAAAAAAAAGTTGAAGACTTTAGCACGTATACGTTTGGTGTAGTAGAAAATGAATAATGAATACTGACGTCACATGTATGCGGCTCGAAGGACCAAATTGTTGGGTCAGGTAAAGGTTGCGGCAGTGTTAAATATTAGGCTCGAAGGACCAAATTGTTGGGTCAGGTAAAGGTTGCGGCAGTGTTAATGTTAAATATTAAATGTAGTTTCCGTTACATTTGCATTATGTTACAAATGTAATAGAAATATATGTACTAATTAATGTATTAATTCAGAGATAAGTCCACCCTTTCTCACAATATTTATAAATGCATTAACAATGTAATTTACAAGTGCAATAAAGAATATACATATAAAAATGAAGTTACTTCTTCCGTTTTCCCAACATTTCCCTTCACTGTTCTGCTTCTATTGATCGTGGCGTGATGAAAAGTATACTATAATATGCCCAGTAGTATGAAGAATAATTGTACCAAGTTTCGTTAAAATCCGTCAAGTAGTTTTTGTTTCTATAACGAAAATACAGACAGGCATACGAAAATTTTACTGATTGCATTTTTGGCATCAGTATCGATCACTAATCACGCCCTGATAGTTATTTTGGAAATATATTTCATGTACAGAATTGACCTCTCTACAGATTTATTATAAGTATAAATTATGTTCGTGGCAATTCTATGCGGACAAACGCAGTGTAGGAAGACCTCCCATTAGATGGAATGACGACCTCAATGCATTGCAGGGACTCAATGGATACAGGTGGCTCAGGACTGTTCCTAAGGTCTATGGGAGAGGTCTATGTTCAGCCATGGCCAGATAATGGTTGAAATAATACTGATGATATATTTGTTTTGAATTTGTTTCAGATCATGATGAGTACCAGCCGGGTGCTAACAGTGTGCATTCTCTTAGCCCTGGTAGCGGTGACCTCCGGCATCAGATGTTGGAAGTGCGGCCAATACAGCGACGGGGTCGGCTCCATTACACCATGCAACAATAGAAGCGCGGCGCAACTAGAAGACTGCCCGAACAATGCTAAATATTGCATAGTAAGTAGATGTTATTTTTCATAATGCTTTTTTTTAATACCTGATAATGGAATGATAATTTGATGAGAGACGAGAGAATCAGGGATTGATCACAATGGTTACCATGGAGACCCATCGAGGGAAATTTAATATGATATGTAGCTAGTAATGGGATAGTTAGTATTCGTTACGAAAGACTCCTTCCTCCCCCCCCCCCCCCCCCACTCGATTCTAACGTTCTAATAAGAAAAAAATATTACAACAATAATACGAAGAAAACTATGTTGATGGTCAAGGCGTCTGATATTATAAATATGATAGATAGATAGATACTCTTTATTGTTTCCTCCAAAAGATTACAATAGTAAACTTATTATAAATATAAACAATTACAAGAAATAATCACAATGAGGAAACAATGGGCGACCTTATCGCTAAGAGCGATCTCTTCCAGCCAACCTTTGGATTGAGAGGAATAATTATAAATCTTATTATTATAATTCTTTGAAGCAGCTTATAGAATGAGCTCACGATGTTTTTCTAAAAGACTACAGCATGGGGTTCTTCAAAAGGGGGGTTAAGAGGTTTCTTCAGGGTCGACAACGTGCGCGTAATACCTCTGGTATTGCAGGCGTTCATAGGCTACGGTAACCACTTACCATCAGGAGGGCCGTGCTTGATTGCCATATCTGTGGCATAAAAAACAGCTTTTATCGGTCGAGATAAAAAGTAACCTAAATACTTCTGTATAGTGTGTGTATACTAAATATCCACCGCCGTATGGCCGTTTGGTCCTGACATAGAATAAGCCACCCCTTCCTTTCCCGTGGGTGTCTTAAGAATCGACTAAGTGAAGGAAAGAGATAGGCAGCAGCGTCCCTCTTAAAACATCTCCAAAGTCTAACAGCAATTGCCAATTCGCCTGCCAAGCGTGGGAACTACTGGACCCCCCCCCCCCCCCCCCCCAAGGGAGAGACTTACGTTCAGCAGTGGACAGTTAAAAGCTGATATGATGATGAAGATGATACCAAATACCATAGTTATTGGTTAAGCCATTCATGCACTAAAAGGTAACAAATAACTCACTTCTAGTACGCAGTGTAATTCTCTCATTTCCTTCGTAATATGTGGATATTTTATTTATTTATTTATTTATTTATTTATTTATTATAAGTTACAACAACAGTTTGCAAACAGAAATGAACCATTAAAAAAACCAAAACAATACAAAAATTTATCAATACGCAGTTTGCCAACCTTACATTGTAAACATCATTTAACACTAAGTTATAAGTAAACGTTATACATTTTTATAGATATACATTATATTACTGATTACAATTATGAACTTATTCTATGCAAAAAAAAAAAAAAAAATCTAAACTTATTCCATCTCAAAACCATACAATGACCTCTTAAACCCAATAGTACTCTGATGAAAGATATCGATTTTTCCGCTAATTTTATTATACAATTGACACATTCGATGAATGGGATTATTATGTGAGACATTATTATTGGTGGATGGAATACTGAATAGCCGAGGATGTCTGAAAGAATGCTTACACGCAATCAAGTTCAGAGAAGCTGTTAATGATTCATTCAACAATCCATTTGCAATCCTAGAAAGCAAGCACAGATCACCAATTCTACGCCTCGTTTCCAAAGTTAAGAATCCAAAATACTTCATACGTTCCTCATAATCACGTAAATTTTGTTTTAAATGAAATTTCCTTGTAATGTAACGAAGGAAACCAGCTTGTACTGATTCGATTCTATTTATATCTACTTTATATATAGGAGACCAAACTGATGCACAATATTCTAAATTACTCTGAACGAGAGTTTTATATAATATAATAAAAGTGTTCGGCTTTTTAAATGGTTTAGTTGTACGAATTACAAATCCAAGCATTTTTTTAGCTTTATTTACAATAGAATCATAATGCAACTTAAATGACAATGTATTATCAAACCAAACTCCGAGGTCCCTTACTAATTTAGTATGTTTAAGTTTTATATCTTTAATGGTATAATAGTATGATATTGCGTGTTTATTTTTAGTAAATGTAATGTATTGACATTTGTCAATATTAAGAGTCATTAAGTTGTTTTTACACCAATCATCGACAATATCCAAATTATTCTGTAGCTTTTTACAGTCTTTCAAATCACAAATAGTTGAGAACAATTTAATGTCATCTGCGTAAGCCAGACACTGACAAGTAATGGTTTGAAGTAGATCATTAATAAAAAGCAAAAAGAGTAAGGGACCTAGATTCGATCCTTGTGGAACTCCGGATGTCCGGATATTAATTCTACTAACGTCACAATAATAAGAACATATGATACAGAATGCGTAAAAGTCTCGCAAAACTATTTCTTCGCCGCTATTTTCCCTGAAAATCCCATCTGATTCCGAATTCAGGTCACAGCTCGTATCAAACTCTCGGCTTCAATCTACGTACGCTCCGATGCAAGGCGTGGGCTTTCTTTTTAGAATGATACGGGCCACAAACATCAGTATGGTGGTCTGGATGCTTATTGCTTTTGAAATCTGTCGTTTACACTCACGGCAACTTTGTGCATGGGGTGATCAGAGTGAATTTATTAAAGTGGCTTTATGTGGGAAACCTCCATTCGTTGAGTTTGTTCACGATTGACTTCAAATAGAGAGTGTTTCTCGATTCGGTTGTAATTTTTTGTTTGTTACCTAATACCTTATTTTTATTGTTGACTTGTGTTTAATATATTTGTTTTTTTTTTTTTTATATATTACGAATTATTTTAATGACTCATTTTAATCAACATTTATACTTTTTATGTTTTAACATTTGTATGTCTATATATGACGAAATATGAGGACTTATACCTATTGTTAACATTTGTGCTCTTACCATGTTACCTTGTAAATAAATAAATAACACCGTCAGTTGTAAATTACCAGAGGGAGACTTTGTACAAAAGTCGATTGCTTGGGTACCTCTGTCCCATTCGTGTTTTTACCGTGAAGCAGTTGTGTTTACATAGCTGTGTTTCGGTTTGAAGGGTGGGATATGGCATAATAATAATATAAGCTACTGGCAAAACTCCCGTTATGGGGAAAGCTGATGTTCAACAGTGGATAGTTAACGGCTGAACTAAAAAATACAAAAAAAAAAACAAAAAAAAACTGAATCGTGAACCATCTTTTTTTCAAAGCCGGTTGAAAATAATCCAGAGATTAGCTAAAATGAGCGACGAGTACAAGCATTATTTTATTATGAGTATTGTAGATTGTATCGCGAGTGAGCAAGCCAGCAAAAGAAGGTTCTTGTGGCGAGGGAGCTATTTCAAATGTTAAAAGGTAGGAAAGATTTTAGAGAATACGTCACTCAAGGTAAATACATTGCGTGACCAAGTGGTGCTCCAATTCTCATCTCTTTACATGAGAAAGTAAGTTGGATACAACATAATGTTGCATTGTTTTATTTATTACGTTATTTATTTATACAGGAAAACCAGGGCTACACTAGTATAAATAGAAATAGTCTAAGATTCTATTAATGTTATAAATGAGAAAGATTGTAACGATGGATAACTTGTAACTCTTTTAGGGGAAAATTACTCTTTTTTTAAATTTTTTTTATACAACTTGGGAAGTGGTAACTGTCGCCTATAGACATGAGCAATACCATGGACATAACAGAGTATACTGTTTCGCTCATGATACCCCTCGTGCGTTGCCATTCCTGAGGACTCAGGTGTTATTCCTCTGTACCTGTTATTTACTAAATGAATGTGAATGAAATTTAGTACACGGGTAGGTTATATCCTAACTTAGCATATAGGATTATTATAGTTTTTACATTGATCCACGTAAGCGAAGCCGCAAGATACGGCTTGTTTATTAATACGATCTTTAATAAATATAAGGTATACTGTAATCCTTACTAATATTTGAAAATAAAATATTAAATTAATATAGAAGATAATATGCCTACAAGTCGCATATATTTTATCTTAATACGCCATAGAAGAGGTGACAATAATAACTTTCAAATTGCGTTCCACAGAAAAAAAAAACTCCAATTGAGGCCAAAGTCATCACAATATTATTTAAAAACAAAACTACTAAATCGATTTAGATAAAAACAAAAAAGGCGTCCACAGGCTACAGTGACCGTTTACCATCAGATCGTCTCAATTAAATTCAATTCAATTTATTCTATAACAATTTTTTTTTTAAACAACTTAGAATGGCAAACAAGCTGACGGCCCACCTGATGGAAAATGGTAACCGTCGCCTATAGACATGAGCAGTACCATGGATAGAACAGAGTATACTGTTCGCCCATGATAACCCCCCAAGCGTTGCCATTCCTGAGGACTCAAATGTTATTCCTCTGTACCCTGTAAATTCACGCCCTATTCCCACCCTTCAAATCGAAACAGCCATGCAAACACACAACTGCTTCACGGTAGAAACACGAATGGGACAGAGGTACCCAAGCAATCGACTTTTGTACAAAGTCTCCCTCTGGTGTAAATTACATATACGCAGTTGAAAATATCAATTTTATTGTTAGAATGTTTCCTTAAAATATACAAGTGATTCTTTATTCAGTTTGAATTGGTAAACAAATTGATGGCTCAGCTGATGGAAACGGCAACTGTCGCATATAGACATTTCGATCTCACACTGGTTAAACACGAAACAAAAGTACGTACATGCAGTACGCATGGGAATTATCGGCATTGGTTCAATAACTTTATATTAGTTTCCTTTGAAAATTCAAGGCAAAAAAGGTCATCAATTCATTGTTAATGGGTGATAATGGAATTGTAACCCCGCCTACGCTATCGGTATACACTGGCGGGGCACCAGTGAGAGGTGATATAGGTGAGGATGAAAACAGGTCAGTAAGCCCACCGTGACGAATCTAACAATAAATCAATTACTATAGTTCCCAGGGGATAGGACCACGAGGAGGTCGACCTGACAGGGTATATTGCTAGCAGTGAGGCTACTAATCCCCATT